GATGCCGAGCTTGTCCCCATACTCACCTGCGTTATGTTACCTGGCTGGGTGGCTCAGTGGCTAAGATGCTGAGCTTGTCCCCCATACTCACTTATGTTATGTTACCTGGCTGGGTGGCTCAGTGGCTAAGATGCTGAGCTTGTCCCCCATACTCACTTATGTTATGTTACCTGGCTGGGTGGCTCAGTGGCTAAGACGCTGAGCTTGTCCCCCATACTCACCTGCGTTATGCTACCTGGCTAGGTGGCTCAGTGGCTAAGACTCTGAGCTTGTCCCCACACTCACCTGTGTTATGTTACCTGGCTAGGTGGCTCAGTGGCTAAGACGCCGAGCTTGTCCCCACACTCACCTGTGTTATGTTACCTGGCTAGGTGGCTCAGTGGCTAAGACGCCGAGCTTATCCCCCACACTCACCTGTGTTATGTTACCTGGCTAGGTGGCTCAGTGGCTATGACTCTGAGCTTGTCCCCACACTCACCTGTGTTATGCTACCTGGCTAGGTGGCTCAGTGGCTATGACTCTGAGCTTGTCCCCACACTCACCTGTGTTATGTTACCTGGCTAGGTGGCTCAGTGGCTAAGACGCCGAGCTTGTCCCCACACTCACCTGTGTTATGCTACCTGGCTAGGTGGCTCAGTGGCTAAGACTCTGAGCTTGTCCCCACACTCACCTGTGTTATGTTACCTGGCTAGGTGGCTCAGTGGCTAAGACGCCGAGCTTGTCCCCACACTCACCTGTGTTATGTTACCTGGCTAGGTGGCTCAGTGGCTAAGACGCCGAGCTTGTCCCCCATACTCACTTATGTTATGTTACCTGGCTGGGTGGCTCAGTGGCTAAGACGCCGAGCTTGTCCCCCATACTCATCTGTGTTTTGTCACCTGGCTAGGTGGCTCAGTGGCTAAGACGCCGAGCTTGCCGACCAGAAAGGGCCGGCGGTTCGAATCCCTAGTCTAGGTCTCCTGCCTGAGAGCAGGAGGGTTGAGCTAGATGACCTCCAAAGGCCCCTTCCAACTCTGTTACTGTTACCCTTCAATGCACCTCCTTGTATCATATAAATACAGCGACTGGGTGGCTGAATATTACATTAGTGAATATCATATTATATTAGCTGACTCTTAGTGTTTTCCAAGCCTCGCTTGTATTGTTCAAATGTTTATTGTGGTTGCTGCACAGCGAGTTTTTAATGTTTCAACTCCGATTTGGTCGGCAATAAATACATGTTTAATTTTATCCACCCTTTACATTTTTAATCCTGTGAAGTAGTTGTTTTAGGGGCCCCAGACCAGTTACACTGCGTTGCCTTATGGGGGGCCCATTAATGCTGTTAAGACGGCCCTGGGGTGGGGTGGGGGGTGGGATGGGGAGGGGGCGTGCGAGGGGGAAACGGAGCGCCCAGCCTTCGTCTCCTGCCTCCCTGGGATAAATGATGACCCCGCCGCTTTGAATCAATCCAATTACCGACCGCAGAGAGACCCCAAACCGGGCGAGATCGTTAATCCAGAGGATGTGAGGAGGGGGCGGCAGCAGGGGTGGGGTGGGGTGTCTCTTGACCCGTCCGGACTTCCAACCGCGCAGCCCTGGCTCTTTGCTCCAGGGTACCCCGGGAAAATCGGAGCGGAGGGGGAGGTCGGGAGGGGGTTATACAGCAGCCGCCTCCTTCCCCCCCTCTTCCTCCCCAGGAGACCCTTCCTGATGCGCCCCCCTCCCCGCCTCAAAGCCTGCTTAGGTGGCTCAGTGGCTAAGACACTGAGCTTGTCGGTCAGAAAGGTCGGTTCGAATCCCTAGTATAGGTCTCCAAGCGTGAGAGGAAGGGGGTTGGACTAGACGACCTCGAAGGTCCCTTCCGTTCGGTTACAATGAGCGAGAGAGCACTTCTTCACGGGATGGGGAGAAAGGGGGGGGGCCTCACAGCCCCCTCCCCCCATCCAAAACGGTTTGGTGGAGGTGCGAAGGACTGACCAGGCAAACCCCCCCCGCCCCAGATTAGAAGCCGATCCCCCCTTGGAGTGGGCGCAGAGAAAAGGAGCCCGGAATGAATCCGGCGTCACTCCGGTTCCCCGTTAATTCCGGCAGTGCGGCGGCCTTGCTTGATAAGGGACCGTGGGGGAAGCAGATGAGTAGCTGGAGTGGGGGGGTCTTCCTGGGAAGCTCCGACGACCCTCCCTCGAATGACAAAAGGGAGACTCAGCTAGCTAGGAAGCTTCCCCGAAGGCTCCCGAGTTCTGTCGGTCGTTGCTTCTTGCCTTCCGTCTTTCTCTCTCTCTTTCTCTCTCTCCAACTCGATGTAAGCTCCGCCCAGTAGGAAGAGAGGGCGGGGCTTTCTCCCACAGAGAGTTTGGGTGGGGGGGCTTTCTCTCTTCAGTGGAAACCGGTCGCTGGTTCAGTAACAATAACAGAGAAATTGAATTAATTGAACTGAATAAATAAATAAAGAGTTGGGAGGGAATCGGGACCAGATTTGGCCAGGGTCTCTGGGCCTCCTTCCTGACATGCCGCCCCCCACCCCAGAAGAAGGGGAGGTAGGGCTATCTTAACGCCTGGGCCTGATGGACACTTGCCACGAGCAGAGGGGGCCCCGTACTCCTCTGTGTATGTTAACCCTTCCGTGCACCTTGTAGCATATAAACACAGCAACAGGTTGATTAAATTTGACTGCATTTTTTTTTTTAAATTAATACTAACGTGGAAATTATACGTTTTAATGTTATCGACCGTTTACATTTTTATTTTTTTTTATTTGCCCGGGGGTGGGGGTGGATAACACTGTTAAAGACGGCCCTGGGAGTGGGGGGAATCTGGGGGGGGGTGCATTGAATGTCTGAGCCTGGGGGGTGGGGTGGGGGAAAAATAAGGGGGCACTGCCCCTTTTTAAAAAGAGCCTTGAAATTTGATTTACATGCCGCCCTTCTCCGGAGACTGCCGAGGTCTGGTGGCTCAGCAGACTAAAGCACTGTTATCAACATCCGCTTACATCTGCTGCCTGCGATTACTGCAAGTTCGAATCTCGCCAGGCTCAAGGTTGACTCAGTCTTCCATCCTTTCTAAGGTTAGGTAAAATGAGGACCCAGATTATGGGGGCGAGTTTGTATAAAAATATACAAAAGTAGGAAGGCTATTGCTTAACGCATTGTAAGCCGCCCTGAGTCTCCGGAGAAGGGCGGCATATAAATCAAATTTTTTTAAAAAATGCGCAAAAAAAAAAAAGTCTTTAGAAAGCAAAAAAAAAAAAAAAAAGAAAATGCGGACAATTTTTCTGAATCCGGCTTCAAATACCGATTGAAGCGGGGGAGGGGGGAGAAAGTGGGGGGCAGGATGACTCTTTGCTCAGGATATTCTCAAACAGGTTCAGCCGAGTGAATCCCGGAGAAGGTGGGGGCCCGGGGGGGGGCGCAGGATGTCCTGGTCCTTCGGAGTCACTCTAGTTTAGATCCATGCCCAATTCATCCTTTGGAACTGATGGGCATCTATAGGAGCTGGTGGCCTATAAAGTACCGTCTCCGCCCCCCCCCCCCCCCACCCCAATTAAGGAAGGGCGGAACTGGGGGGGGTCCTCCTTTCCCATCCCCACCCCCAGTTCCCCCCCCCCCCGTCTAACCACCCCCTCGGATCATGGCTCTGGTGCTCTGCTGGTTCATCCAAAGCCTTCCGTTCCCCTTCGAAGCTGTGCCAATGCAGGACCAGCTTTCTAATGCAGGTGCTGATGTGCGCGCATCGCCCCCCCCAGGGGACCAGAAAAGGCTCTCTACCCCCACCCCCCGCCTTCGGAACGGTAGAACCAGACCACTCTTTCGACGGCCACGCCCCCTTCACTGGGGGGGGATCCTTCCTTCTTTCCTGCCTCTCTCCCTTCCTTCCTCCTTTCTTTCTTTCTTTCTTTCTTTCTTTCTTCCTTCCTTTCTTTCTTTCTTTCTTTCTTTCTTTCTCTCCTCCCTCCCTTTCTCCCTTCTTTCCTGCCTCCTTCTTTCCTGCCTCTCTGTGTCTCTCCTTTTTCTTTCTTTCCCCTTTCTGTTTTTCTTCCTTTGTTTTTCTTTCCTTCTTTCTTCTTTCTTTCTTTCTTCTTTCTTTCTTTCCTCCCTTCTTCCCTTCCTTTCTTCCTGCCTCTCTGCCTCTCCCTTCTTTTTCTTCTTTCTTTCTTTCCTCCATCCTTTCCGTCCTTCCTACATTATCCTTCTTTCCTTCATTCTTTCCTGCCTCTCTCCCTTCTTTCTCCTTCCTCCCTCCCTCCCTTCTTTCCTCCCTTCCTCCCTCCCCTCTCTCCTTCCTTCCTCTTTTTCTTCCTTCCTTCCTTCCTTTCTTTTTCTTTCTTCCTTCCTCCCTCCCTCCCTCCCTTCCTTCTTTCCTGCCTTCCTCTCTCCCCTCTCTTCTTCCTTTCTGTCTTTCTTCCTTCCTTCCTTCCTTCCTTCCTTCCTTCCTTCCTTTCTTTTTTCCTTCCTTCCTTCCTTCCTTCCTTCCTTCCTTCCTTCCTTCCTTCCTTCCTTCTTCCCTCCCTCCCTCCTTTTCGAGAGTCCACTTCTTCCTTCCCCGGAAAATTCCTCTCTCTGACTTAGTCTCCAAGGGAGGGGAGAAGATCCCTTTCCCACCCGAGGGGCGAACGGGGTCTGCCTCATTCTTTGCGAGCAGAAAGGAAGCAAAAGGGGGCGTCGGGGGGGGGGCAGCAGGCAGGGACCAATGAACCTCCTGGGAGAGATCGGAGGGGGGGTGGAGGGGGGGAGAGACATCTCTGCCAGGAACAATTTCCTCGCCGGTGATGTAGTAGCAAAGCAACGGCTGCCTGGACGGCGCGGCCAGGCCGGCTGAAGGCGAGGATGGTTCCCCAGGCGGCGGGGGAGCCTTGGCCCTTCCCGGACCGAGCCGGCGACCGGTGAGCACATGGTAGACGGAGCCGGGCGGGCGTGGAGCAGCCAATGGGCGCCGTGCCCGACGTGATGTCAGAGCGGCGCTAGAAAAGGCGCGGAGCCTTGCGCGGGCTGGGACTGCGGCGGCTTCTGCCCGGAACGCGGCTCCTCCTCCCGGTCCTCCCCCTCTTCCAGCCTTGGCGTTCCCGCCCCCCTGCCTCGGTCCTCGAAGCGGCAGCCGGGCTCAGCCGCCGTTACCACCGCCACAGCCGCGCCTGACGGCGGAGGAAGAAGAACAGGAGGAGGAGGAAGAGGAGGAGGAGGAGGCGCAGAGGCCGGCCCTGCTCCCGGTTGCCTCCCTCCTTGCGCGGATCCGGCCCTCTCGCTCGCCGCAGCGCCTAGGCCTCTTCCACCACCGGAGCCGTCCCGGGCACCACCGGGAGAAGCGGAGGCGGCCGCCCGTCGCTCGCCGCGCCCGCCCTCCGTCTGTCCGTCGGGCCTGGAACCCGCGATGTTTTAAAGCCACCCCTCGTTTCTTCCCCCGGCCTGGCCTGGGGGGGGGTCGGGGGGGTCGGCCACCCCCGTCGGGCGGACAGAAACCCACCGGGGAGGAAGAGGAGGCGAGACGGGGCGGCCCGGGCCGTGAAATGACACCTCCTCGCCGCCGCCGGTAACCGGAGAACCCGAAGCGTCGGTCGCGGGGAACGGCGGAGAGGCGCGGAGCCTCCGGCGCGGCCATGCTCTTCCACAGCTTAGCCGGTTCCGAAATGCAGGGCGTCATCGACGAGATGGACCGGAGGAGCAAGGCAGACGCGCCCGCCATCACTTCGGTCATCGACCGCGGCGAAACCGAAACGGTAGGGCTCCGCGGCGGCAGGCCCTGGAGTGCCACTTTTAGGCAGGGAAGGATTCGGGGCGAAGCCGGGTTCTCGGAAACCCATTTGCGGTCCCCCCCCCCAAAAAAAGCCTCCTCCAACGAAATACGGAGCCTTGAGGGATTTGGGTGGGGGGGAAAAGGGTTAAAAAGGGAAAAGCCGCGGAACTGGAAGCGCTTCAATCCTTCGGAAAAGGATCCGGAAAATTGCCCGGCGAAGCCGCAGTTCTGCGCCTACTTTAAACCCGAGGAATTGTGGGTTTAAGAACCCAAATCTCTCCCCCCCACACACACACACTCCCCCTAAAAAGTCATTTTTGATTAACGGGTATATTTTTCTGCTCCTCTCTCTAGTTTTATTCCCCCCTCCTCCGGTCTGTAAAACATAAAATTAAATGTCTTTAACGATCGCAATTGGTAACGATCGCAAGGGAAGGCAAAGTTAGCCCACCTTCTTAAATCCAACCCCAAAAAAGTGACTGGGAGAAAGAGAAAGGTTTTTATTTTACTTACGAGGCTTTCAACATTGCATTTACAATTGCCCAAATCTAAGTCCTCTTGTCTATCTATGGGCTTTGCTTCCTCCCCCCCAGCCATTTTTTTTTTTTTTGCTTTGAATGTGTTTGCTTAACCAAGTGGCCTCGGTCGGCAACATTTTAATAGGGGGATTAGCATTTATAGTTTTGCGCTGGTTTCTTTTCCCTTCGCGAAAATCGTTTTGCTTTCACCGGTTTTAACTAGGGAAAAATGACTGTTACCCGTATCCAGCCGCAGATAATATTATAAGTAATGACAATATATATATATATAACAATAGCATTGTGAACAATAATCTGTGCGTAAAATGCATGGTGCGAAATGCTATTTATTCGGGAACATTTATTTCAAAGTTGAAGGAAAGGGCCTTTTCAAAATATTTTTTTCATCTTGCCTTGTCTTATTTTTCTTCCGAGATTTCTTGGCACTCGGAAAAGTCGGGAAAGAGAAGACAAACGGCTACTATTTTTTCCTCTCCTGTTTTTTTTTTCTTTCTTTCTTTTTTGTTTTACGGTTATTATTGTTTTGTTGCTATGATTTTATTTTCCCCATGAGCCTGCTATTTTTTTTGCCCTTAGAATTATTATTTTCCGCAGAGACGCTTCGAAGAGAGAAGCCAAGAAATCTATTCACTTTATTATTATTTTTTTTGCAGAGTTTCAAGCTTGGGCTTCTAACCATTCTGGCAGGAATTAAATAATAGGACTCAAACCATTTCCCTGCTTCCAAATATTAAATGGGTTTTCAAAAGATTCCCGCTATTTCTCCACTTTCTCATTTCAAAATTAGAGGAACCGTGTTTTTTGTTTTTTTGCAGGAGAAATAAAATTAATCTAATGCTTAGGGATCTTTTTTTTAAAAGAAAATGTCCGCCTCTTCCATTTCTAATTAAAATAATTATTTGTCCTATTTAAAAAAAAAAAGAAATATGACAGAAGAAAGTGGATTTTCCTTCCCCAATGCCTGCCGAAACGGTGTTGGATAAATTAAAATTTACATTTTAAAATATTTTTTTTATAAGAAAGGGGGGAAAAAAACGATCCTTCGACCAGTTATTTGGTTATTTAGGCAGAAGGGGGGAAAAACCCTCAGCTCGGATAAATTCAAACTTAGACTCCGCGGAGGCGCTCAGTCTTGCAGGAGCTCCAGAGAGCTCGCCGGGGGCAAATTTCCACTGAAGTCCGTTACAATCTCAAGCAGGGCTGATCGTAGCCAGATGCTTTTGCGCTGCTTCCGAAGTGATGCCTTGATTTAGTTTCTGCCTGGTCGTGGAAACGCGCAAAAAAAACCCCCCAAAAAACCACGGGCTTGGCCCTGTACGAAGCGCCCTTCCCTTCCTTCTTACTCCTCCTCCCCGCTTAAATTTTCTTCGTTTTTTTCCCCTTTAAAAACAACAATAACAACAACGGGGAAATCGCGGAAGGAGATTTTGTTATTTTGTTAGCAGAAGAATATGATTAAATTCGTGTTGTTGGTTTTTTTTTTTTTTTTTTTACTAATTTTGCTTTCTTCAAAGAGTTTGAAAAGGGAGCTGAGTTTCCCCTTCCGGACGGGACCCCTATTTTTATTATTATTATTATTATTTATATGCCGCCCTTCTCTGGAGACTCAGGGCGGCTTACAATGCGTTAAGCAATAGCCTTCATACTTTTGTAGATTTATACAAAGTCAGCTTATTGCCCCCACAATCCGGGTCCTCATTTCACCTACCTTAGAAAGGATGGAAGGCTGAGTCAACCTTGAGCCTGGCGAGATTCGAACCTGCATTAATTGCAGGCAGCAATTTGCACCCCTATTTATTTTTTACTGGGTTTAATAATCCCACCACTCATATACCCCCTCCCCAAACCCACGCAGGCCTCCCGTTTTGCTTTTCCCGCCGTCCACCTTCCCACTTTTTTCGGGCGGCACAATCCATTCCTGCGAGACACAGAACGGGAGGTTTGAGTGGGGTTCGAGAACTCGACACGGCTTAACTCGAGCCCCGAATTCACACGTACACACACACACACACACACACACCAGTTTCGGCTTCGTCAGATTCGCGGAATTCCCCTAAAACTGGAGCCAGGATTAACAGCTACCCGGGTGTGACCAGGGGTAAAAATGCGGCCTCTTCTTCTGACCTGGGTTCCGTGGGTTGTGAGAAGGCAACCAGGGAGAAGGGGGAAAAAAACGATTTGGGGGGTTCGCGGGTTGAGCCCCGGGAGGGGAAAAGCGCTTGGATTCGCCGGTTTGGCTGGAAGGGAGATCGGGCCTCCTGGCTTCCCCCATTCCCCCCCTTGCCGGGTTTAGGCACTTCCAGGTGAGCGAACCTGTCCGGTCCTTCGCTATTAAGCGCCGCTTTTCTCTCCCCTCCATCCCGCAGCACGCTATGCCGTCGGTCAGCAGCGAGCGAGCCGCCCTGTGCGCCGGCTGCGGGGGGAAGATCTCGGACCGCTACTACCTCCTGGCGGTGGACAAGCAGTGGCACATGCGTTGTCTGAAGTGTTGCGAGTGTAAGCTGAACCTGGAATCCGAGCTCACCTGTTTCAGCAAAGACGGGAGCATTTACTGCAAGGAAGACTATTACAGGTAAGGAGCTGGGGAAAGGGAGGGTGAAAAGGGGGGCGGGGGCTGGAAGTTCCCCGGCTCGGTCTTCTTTAGGACGGTACCTGCCGGCTTACCTGTCCCAGCAGCGGGCTGGTCCGGGGCGCCCTTAGGAAAGGGTTAGGGTTTCCAGGTGGGAAGGGCGCTTGAATTTCTTATCCCCATCCCATCCCGTGAAGAAAGGCGGGGGTGAGGGGGGAAAACTCTGCACCTGTTCAGGTGAAGACTTCAAAGGATTCTCTCTCTCTCTCCTCCTCCTCCTCCTCCTCCTCCTCTCCTCCTCCTCCTCCTCCTCCTCTCCTCCTCCTTCTTCTTCTTCTTCTTCTTCTTCTTCTTCTTCTTTCTCCTCCTCCTCCTCCTCCTCCTCCTTCTCCTCAATTTTTCTCCTTCTCCTTCTCCTTCTCAATTTTTCTTCTTCTCCTCCTCCTCCTCCTTTTCCTTCTCCTCAATTTTTCTTCTTCCCCTTCTCCTCCTCCTCCTCCTCCTCTCCTCCTCCTCTCCTTCTCCTTCTCCTTCTCCTTCTCCTTCTCCTTCTCCTTCTCCTTCTTCTTCTTCTTCTTCTTCTTCTCCTTCTCCTTCTTCTTCTCCTTCTTCTTCTTCTTCTCCTTCTCCTCCTCCTCCTCCTCCTTCTCAATTTTTCTTCTTCTTCTTCTCCTCCTCCTCCTCCTCCTCCTCCTCAATTTTTCTCCTTCTCCTCCTCCTCCTCCTCCTCCTCCTCCTCAATTTTTCTTCTTCTTCTTCTTCTTCTTCTTCTTCTTCTTCTTCTTCTTCTTCTTCTTCTTCTTCTTCTCCTCCTCCTCCTCCTCCTTCTTCTCCTTCTCTCTCTCTGGCTGGCAGGAGATTCTCCGTCCAGCGCTGTGCCCGCTGCCACTTGGGCATCTCCGCCTCGGAGATGGTGATGCGCGCCCGAGACTCGGTTTACCACCTGAACTGCTTCACCTGCTCCACCTGCGCCAAGATGCTGACCACCGGCGACCACTTCGGCATGAAGGACGGGCTGGTTTACTGCCGCCTGCACTTCGAGGCGCTGCTGCGAGACGAGTACCAGCTCCATTTCAACCACGCCGAGGGGGTGGCCGGCAAGGGCCCCGCGCTCGGGGCCGCCGCCCCGCTTGGCCTGCCCTACTACAACGGCGTGGGCACCGTGCAGAAGGGGAGGCCCAGGAAACGGAAGAGTCCGGGTCCCGGCGCCGAACTGGCTGCCTACAACGCAGGTAAGCAGGCCGAGCGAGGCAGGTGGGGGGTGGGTGGGTGCATGGGGATGGGGGGGAAACGGGCGCCGCGCCCTCCCGGTTTTGCAAAAAAGGATCGCTCTGTAGATTTGCGCCGCGCTTGGTTTGGCGAGGAAGGCGCCGTTTGCGCGTTTGGGACACCCCCGTTTTGTCGGCTTGGCGGTCTCGGGAGAGCGGGCATGTTGGAGATTTTTTTGGGTGGGTGGGTGGGGTGGAACCCAGGCAGCTCCTTGTCCCCCCCTTGAACTCGCCCTGAAATTGCGGGCTTGGGCTCCCTTATTTATTATTTATTGGTTCGATTTATATGCCGCCCTTCTCCGGAGACTCAGGGCGGCTTACAATGCTTTTAAGCAATAGCCTTCATAATTTTGTATATACCTGCTTAGTAGGGCTTATTTGGCCCCCGCTTCCTAAGCGGTGTTCTTTTTTATATAAAGTCAGCTTATTGCCCCCCACAATCCGGGTCCTCATTTTACCTACCTCGGAAGGATGGAAGGCTGAGCCAACCTTGAGCCTGATGAGATTTGAACTCGCAGTAATTGCAGGCAGCAGGCAGCTAAATACTACTTTAACAGTACTTCAGTCCACTGCACCACCAGGCCCCCACACCCCACCCCCAGGCGCAGGCATTCACCCCAGCACCCCAGATTCCCAGCCCCACTCACAGGGCCGTGTTTAATAGCATTATGCCCCCACCCTCCCACCCCCGGGAAAAGCAGTGTCCTGGGGGCCCCTCCGACAACTTACTCGCAGGGAGCAAAAAATGTAAACGATCCATAAAATGAAAACATATAATTTGCACGTTCGTATTGATTTTTTTAAAACGTAATCAAATATGTTGCTGTATTTATATGATGCAAGGTGCATGGAAGAGTTATAACATACCCAGAGGAGTATCGGGCCCCTCTGCTTGTGGGGGGCCCGGGCAAGTGCCTATCAGGCCCCCCACAAGCTTTTGGGACGTTCCCACGTTCGGAATAAGCGGATCTCCGCTTGTAGACACGGGAGCTTTGGCGGGAATGGGCTATTAGAAGGCGGTGCAGAGAGGTTTTCCCCTGCTTTTCGCCGGAAAAACGGGATTTGGGGGTAAAAATTTGGGGGGTGTAATTTGCCTGCCGGAGAATATTTTTTGGGAGACGGGACAGGAGCGTTTATCCCGAGTTTCTTAGCTAAGAAAGGAACGGCGTTGGCTTTTCTTTTTGCGGGTCGGGCACGGTTTAAACCCGGCGGCGTCCTGACCTCGGCGAGAATTCGTGTCTTTTCTGGCAGAGAGAAAAAAACAGGGGGAATCCGGTGCCGTTTTTTTGGGGGGGGGGCTGTGGGGAGAGGGGCGGAGAGTAAGGAACCATTTTCTTTTTCCTTCCGTTCCCTCGAAATCACCCACCTTTTCTAAGCACCTTCCCCGCACCTGGGAAAGTTTATTCTTCCAGCAAACCTGCTCCCCAAAAAAACGTACTTGCTGTAGGAAAGTTGGGGCGTGGGGAGGGAGGGAGAGAGAGCGAGCAGAGAGCTGTGTGCTGGTTAGCTGAAAGCCCCCTCCCCCACTCCGCGGCCCCCACCCCAATTGCAAACCGGGGAAGAAATTATTTAAACCCCTTTCCCTTGATTGCGCCGGGATTCGAACTCGAGTCGCATCTTGGTTACATTTTTTTTAACCCGTAAATGTTGGGTCCCCAACGGCGGGGAGGGGAGGGGCGGGAGGGGGCAGGAGAGGAGGAGGAAGAGGAGGAAGAGGTTGAAGATCGGAGGCTGCAGCTGAAAGAACGGGGAAACGAAAAAGGGGCCCGTTTTGGTGGGTTGAAACGGGCGCGGCGCGGGAGCCGTTTTCCTGGACGCCGATCGAGTCTGACAAGCGGAAAACGGCTTCGGAGGGGGCCGGGATTTCAAAGAGATTGGGTCCCCCCCCCCACCTTCGTTGCCCCCAAACGGTTTGCGCGGGTGTTCCCTCCCTCTCCCCGTTTGGGAACTTTTAATCTTTCTTTTCTTTTCTTTTCTTTTTCTTTTCTTTTCTTTTCTTTTCTTTTCTTTTCTTTTCTTTTCTTTCTCTGTCCCTCTCCCTCTCTCCCTTCCTTCCTTTCTCTATCCTTCTCCCTCTCCCACCTCCCTCCGTCTTCCTTCCTTCCTTCCTTCCTTCCTTCCTTCCTTCCTTCCTTCCTTCCTTCCTTTCTCTATCCTTCTCCCTCTCCCACCCTCCCTCCGTCTTCCTTCCTTCCTTCCTTCCTTCCTTCCTTCCTTCCTTCCTTCCTTCCTTCCTTCCTTCCTTCCTTCCTTCCTTCCCTCGTTGGAGGGAGATGGCAGAGCTTGGAGGGGCCCCACCAAATTCAAAGCCGTCTCTTCTTTCCCGCCGTTTTATTATTATTATTTTTTGAAAAAAATAATCCTCAACCCCCCCCCACCACCCCTTTCTCAGATCGCAGCAAACTCCCCAAGAAAAAGGGAGAACAGAAAAGGGGAGACTTATTTTTCAGGGAGAGCCCCCTCCCCTACTTTCTTTGTCCAATGGAAAACGGCCCTCCTTACCCTCCCCTCTTTTCTAGGGTTGCACCCCCTAAGAATTTTCCCCCTCCCCACCTGGGCTTCTTTCTTGTGGGGGGGGGGGAAGGGTAGAAGAGTCTTGCCTGCCTATTGAGAAAAGCCCCCTCCCCCTTTATCCTGAAAGGACAAGAAAAGCTTTCCCCTAAATCTACCATTCCACTTACTAAGTTCCTTCAACCCAACTTATTATTTCTCATTGGATTTGTCCCAGTTTGAAACCAACTTGGCTACAGAATACATTAAAGAGTTATAATCCGGGCTCCGTGGCTTCTCTACTGGGCCCCTTCTTGCTGCTCTTGAGCTTGTGGTGGCACCCCAATAATTTGGAATTTGTCCCATAGCTCCAGCCCTCTCTTGGACAGAGATTCGGGGGGAGGGGGGGAGGGGGCTGCCAAGAAGTTGCAATAGGCTGTATAAAGGCCAAGGGGATGTCGCACGTCTCACAGGGTAGGAAGATTCATGACAAAATAGAAAGAAATAGAAGAAGAACAGAATCACAGAGTTGGAAGGGGCCTTAGAGGTCCTCTAGTCCAACCCTCTGCTCGAGCAGGAGACCAGCCTACACCATGCCGGAGAAATATCCCAAAAGTGCTTTTTTTCAGGAGGCAACTGGACTTTTTGGTTTTTTTCCTCTTTTGAAGACATTTCGCTCCTCATCCAAAAAAGCTTCTTCAGTTCTGACAGGATGGCGGGGAAGGGAAGGATTGATACTGTCCTTGCAGACAGTTGGTCATTTGCATCCTTTTAGAGAGTCCTTGGAGGTTTATCTGTAGGAATAAAAAAAATCCTTCCATTTTTGAATCCTTCTATGCAAATAGGAATATAAATTCCTATTGTCAGAGCTGAAGAAGCTTCTCGGATGAGAAGTGAAATGTCTTCAAAAGAAAAAAAAAACAACCATGACGTGGAGGATGAAGAATCTCTACAGATTCTTCCGGACAAATGTCCGTCCAGTCTCTTCTTGAAAACCTCCGGTGTTGACGCACTTACAACTTCTGAAAGCAAGCCAATTCTGAGCCAGAAATCTCTTCATTATTGCGACCGCTCAGTCTTTGGCGACCAGGAAATCTTCTCCTGATCGATGGGGAAGAATGCGGTTGATTCCTTGGCTGCTAGATCCTTGAGAGAGATTCTAGATCTCTCTAGATCTAGATTCTAGGGTTCCCTGCCTAAGCAGGGGGTTGGACTAGAAGACCTCTAAGGCCCCTTCCAACTCTGTTATATTCTATTCTATTCTAGACTGGGGGATTGAGTCCCACAGGTCAATTTTCCTCAATTTGCTCCAGATGCTGCAACATTAGGGTGACCCTGGAAGTGTAGGGGTTGTTTCCTTCATTAAGTGATTATTATTATTATTATTTATTGAATTTGTATACCGCCCTACTCCCGAAGGACTCAGGGCGGTGAACAGTCAAATAAAATACATGTAATACAAATGTTAAAAAAAACCATTAAAATACAATTAAATAATTGGCCCGAAAACAAAATTTAAAACACCCCAAATTCATAAGACAAATTTAAAATGGAAGAATTTTAAAAAGTTTAAAAAGTTTAAAAGAGAGGTTAGGCCAGGCTGGCCTGCTGGAAAAGAAATTTTGATGGCATGGCGGAAAGCACACAGGTCCAGGATCCTCAGTATCTCCGGGGGGGGGCTCGTTCCAGATGGCAGGTGCCCCCCCAGAGAAGGCTCTCCCCCTGGGGACCGCCAGTTGACATTGTTTGGCCGACGGATTGACAGTGATATCTAGACGGTTCGGCGTTTGAGAGCAAAACCCATCCATTTTTTTTCCTACGTGTGTATCTGGCCCCCCAATGTGGAAGAAGCCCCCCCCCTCCACACCTCCTAAGCAATTTTGTCAGGGTAAGACTACCACCAGGCAGCTAGGAGTGAATGTCCAGTTTTGGACATTGTAACTGAGGGATGCGGTGGCTCAGTGGCTAAGACGCTGAGCTTGTCGATCGAAAGATCGGCAGTTCAGGGGTTCGAGTCCCTAGCGCCGCAGAACGGGGTGAGCTCCCGTGACTTGTCTCAGCTTCTGCCAACCTAGCAGTTCGAAAGCGCGTAAAAAAAAATGCAAGTAGAAAAATAGGGACCCCCTTTGGTGGGAAGGGAACAGCGTTCCGTGCGCCTTTGGCGTTGAGTCATGCCGGCCACATGACCACGGAGACGTCTTCGGACAGCGCTGGCTCTTTGGCTTTGAATCGGAGAGGAGCACTGCCCCCTAGAGTTGGGAACGACTAGCACAGATGTAGACTAACCTATCCTATGATCCATCGAAGTTAGAGAGCCACTCTAGCTTTGGGGTGGGGGGTGGGGGTCTGGTCGCATAAAGAGACATATCATTTGCAGAGAAAGTAGCCTTTTCCCACACGGGTGGGGGGCTAACTGGGGTGGGGTCTGACCCTCGCAGCATCTTCATGGACAAAAAGGGTTCTGCATAGTGAAA